GAGGAGAGGGGGAGCGAGAGAGCGCAGGAGGAGAGAGGGAGCGCAGGAGGAGAGGGAGAGGGGCGAGCCAGCAGGAGAGAGGGAGGGCGAGCCAGCAGGAGGAGAGAGGGAGGGCGAGCCAGCAGGAGGAGAGAGCACATTAGCGAATGAGCAGGAGAGAGTTCAAGCAGGAGGAGAGAGAGAGGGAATGCGAGCAAGCAGGAGAGAGAGAGAGAGAGCACAAGCAGAAAGAGCACGAGTGAGCGAGCACGAGTGAGCGAGCACGAGTGAGCGAGCACGAGTGAGCGAGCGAGCACAAGTGAGCAGGAGAGAGAATGCATGCAGGAGGAGAGAGAGAGAGAGAGCACGAGAGGGGGAAGAGGGAGAAAGAAAGATACTGGTCAGCATTTTTGCACAACTGTGAAATCAGTTTTGGGTGGAGTGACCATTTAGTTCCATCGAAATGACGCCATTAAATTGCATGTTGTATTATTTTTTCCTGACCGCTTTATGACAGATGCAGTTTATAAATTAAACTCGTGATTTCCCCCATCATCCCCTTTCCACGAATAATCTCTTTTCAGTATGGAAATAATGTGAGCAGGGTTATTGCGCAGCGATGACCTCTCTGCTATAAGAAATCTCAGCAGTAAATACGAGTAATAAAAACAGGTCTAACAGCTCTAATTAGTATAAATGAGTGAAAACACATTCACATTGATTTCATTATTCTAATAAATTAACAGCCGGAAGATTAAGAAAAAAAACAAAGACCACACAAACTCTGTTTTAATAAATAAAATATTGTATCTTTATTTAACAAGCTATTCACATTTCCAGGATGAAGAACATTAAAGTACCATTACTAAAACATAACAAAACTCTGAATAATGTGCTAACACTGTATGTTGGGGGTAACAAAACCTCGCAGCCAATCACGTGTGTGCTTTCATTACCTCCTACAGTAAACACACAACAGCTGATTGTTAATTGGTTAGTATGGAGAAGGTGATGGAGCGACATGTGCTACTCCTGTCAATGAAGGCAAAGACTGCTGATAGTCCTGCCCGCGATGATCACAAGTCTGCTCAATACTGCATTTACTAGAACTAGGAGGCAGTAAGAAAGTCTAATGCTCGGTGTAAGGAATTGATGGCTCCGAACATGTCCCTTTGGTGAACGCTGTACGACATACTACCCGTTACACACAATTCAATGCAGTTCAGCAGTGAGGCCTCCAACACAAAACCTGCAATAATGTCCTTTTGCTGCTGCATTTTCCTAACTGGAGTTTTTTTTTTTTTTTAAAGGTAAAACATTTGTCTAATTTATTTTGGATGGATCACCTATCAATTGTATAGAAAAAAAAGCCAGTACAGTAGCCCACAGCAACCAAAATTAATCACCAGTTATAAAGAACTGGCTGCAACATGGTGCTTCTGTTTTCACTGTAGAGCTGTGGTTCTCAACTGGTGGGTCGCAACCCCTTGTCCAGCCACATGCCTTCCACTCTGCAAGGTGAGAGGCTCCTCGGCCTCCCCCGAGAACAGCGCTGTCAGTTCTCGCTCTGAACAGCCATTCAAAATATGTCTGACGCCGAGTGTCAGCTTGAGGTGGGGTGCGGGTATGTCACTGAGCTCCATCTATACGTGCATTGCTTACAGCTCCCTCACATGTCCTGTAGAGGTGCCTGGACTGGAGTGACATCACATTCTGGCTCACTCTCTCAGGGAGCACAAGAAAGCTGCACAAGCAATGCACATATGGATGGAGCTCCGTTACAGCACAGCCCATACTGGACCCCAAGCTGAGGTGCGACTTGGGTCGCAACTTAATGACCGAGGACAAATGTGGCTCCCGAGGTTACACAAGTTGAGAACCACTGCTGTAGAGGACACTCAACATTTGCAGCATTAGCAGATGTGCAGCAATTTGGGCACTCAGAAGCCCTGTGGAAGGTCCCGATACCCACCTTGCCTCCGACTGGCCAACTACACTGCTGTCACAATGAGTATAGAAGTCTCCTCCCAGGGACAACTTTAGTTCTGTCACTAGCCACACCTAGATGATGGTCTAAAAATATCTTACACCAGACATACTACGAGAAGTGTCAGATGCATGGTACCCTCTGCAGTTTGTAAGTCCACCTGCTGCCCCTTTGTCATACAAGTAGGATCGGCTTGAAAAAAACAATGGAGTCGAATGCAAGGACCAAGAATCTGGCACACCCAGAAGTGTCAGAAGTTGAAAATAGTAAGCAAAGTAGCTCGGAAGACTGGCTATGCGGGTGGCATGTGAGTATTACTTGGCTATGCGGGTGGCATGTATTACTTGGCTATGCGGGTGGCATGTGAGTATTGGCTATGCGGGTGGCATGCGAGTATTACTTGGCTATGCGGGTGGCATGTATTACTTGGCTATGCGGGTGGCATGTATTACTTGGCTATGCGGGTGGCATGTGAGTATTACTTGGCTATGCGGGTGGCATGCGAGTATAACTTGCCTATGTGGGTGGCATGTGAGTATTACTTTCCTTACCGGCTGGGCTTTATTTTTTTTTAATCAGGTGACACCGTTACTTTAAAGGAAAGCTGTTTCTAAAGAACTATGGAAGCTATCGCTGCTGAGCTCCTAAAAATGATATTTGCTTGGCTGTCTTTGGCTTTAACGCTTTAAAAAGTGAATGGGCATGTAGATAAGGAAAGTTAAAACTCTGAAGCTACATACTTGTCTGAAGTAAGTGAAAGAACTGGATCAGCATGACCGCTAGGAAACATGTATTTTCAGGGAGGTGAATATGTTCCCAGTATAGGTTGCATTTAATCAACTATTGGCCCTTTATGTGAATGCCCCCCTCTCATGACTGACGTAGCATCACACACTGGCTGAGCATGAGGCTAAATGTAAGATGTACACTTACTGGGAACAAAGTATAACTGAAGAGAGGAAGAAAAACATGGCTCATGTGATGTTACAAGTCTATAAACGAAACGGACTCTTCCCCCAACCACGGCCTCCACCATCAAGAAAGGTTGCAAATCAAAAGTCAGTAATGCAAGTCGGTCCACTAAGTCACAGTCGTCACACAATAAATACTATACCCATTTTGATATATTTCCTCAAGTTATTAGACCTCTAACCTGGCTCTCATATATTCCCCCATGTTACTGGACCTCTATTCTGGCATATATTACCCATGGCATTAGACCATTATCCTAGCTCCCAAATATTACCCATGTTATTAGATCTCTAGCCTGGCTCTCATATGTTCCTCCATATTAACAGATCTCTATCCTGGCTCTTATATAGCCCCCATGTTATCAGACCTTTATTCTGGCATATATTGCCCATGGCATTACACCATTACCGTAGCTCTCAAATATTACCCATGTTATTAGATCTCTATCCTGGCTCTTATAAAGTCCCCATGTTATTAGACCTTTATTCTGGCATATATTGCCCATGGCATTAGACCATTATCCTGGCTCTCATGTTATTAACTCTCTAGACTCTCTCATATATATTCCTCCATGTTATTAGACATCTATACTGGCTCTCGTATATATTCCCCATGGCACTAGACCTTTATCCTGGCCCTTATATACGCTGCTTGTTATCAGACTTTTATCCTTGCCCTCAAATATTCCTCCATGTTATTAGATCTCTATCCTTCCTCTCAAATATTCCTCCATGTTATTAGATCTCTATCCTTGCCCCCAAATATTCCTCCATGTTATTAGATCTCTATCCCTTCTCTCAAATATTCATCCATGTTATTAGACCTCTATCCTTTCTCTCAAATATTCCTCCATGTTATTAGACCTCTATCCTTGCCCTCAAATATTCCTCCATGTTATTAGATCTCTATCCTTCCTCTCAAATATTCCTCCATGTTATTAGACCTCTATCCTTGCCCTCAAATATTCCTCCATGTTATTAGACCTCTATCCTTGCCCTCAAATATTCCTCCATGTTATTAGACCTCTATCCTTGCCCTCAAATATTCCTCCATGTTATTAGATCTATATCCTTCCTCTCAAATATTCCTCCATGTTATAAGACCTCTATCCGTGCCCTCAAATATTCCTCCATGTTATTAGACCTCTATCCTTGCCCTCAAATATTCCTCCATGTTATTACACCTCTATCCTTTCTCTCAAATATTGCTCCATGTTATTAGACCTCTATCCTTGCCCTCAAATATTCCTCCATGTTATTAGACCTCTATCCTTGCCCTCAAATATTCCTCCATGTTATTAGACCTCTATCCTTGCCCTCAAATATTCCTCCATGTTATTAGATCTCTATCCTTCCTCTCAAATATTCCTCCATGTTATTAGACCTCTATCCTTGCCCTCAAATATTCCTCCATGTTATTAGACCTCTATCCTTGCCCTCAAATATTCCTCCATGTTATTAGATCTCTATCCTTCCTCTCAAATATTCCTCCATGTTATTAGATCTCTATCCTTCCTCTCAAATATTCCTCCATGTTATTAGACCTCTATCCTTCCTCTCAAATATTCCTCCATGTTATTAGATCTCTATCCTTCCTCTCAAATATTCGTCCCTGTTATAAGACCTCTATCCTTGCCCTCATCATCCTTGCTATTAGACCTCTATCCTTCCTCTTATAAATCCCCCAGGTTTTTAAAGCTCTATTCTGACTCGTCCACATCACCTGACAGGAGGTCCTTAGGAGAAGATAAAGGGAGTAGTGGACAGAGGTAATACAATAGTTCTGTGCTGTCAGAGCACAGGATACCACATCTCAGCAAAAGCTTAAATAGTGCAAACAAAAATATGATTATATACAGGTTTCTCTTATTATACAAAGTTATAAAAAAAGAGGTAGTGCCTTTAAACCAAAGCGTAAGGTGTTAAAAACATTACAGTAAGTGGCTGTACATAAATCAGCCCAGATTTCATCCCGGCAGCAGCGGGGTTAAGCCAAAAAGAAGTGGCAAAGTATGAATTACACTTCTGCACACACCGAGCTAGTCTGCAAAAAGTGCAGCATCGGCTCTCTTCTGACAGAGACATCCTTGAACTACTTTCCCAAACATCAGGTGGCTTGCACGCCGTGTATTCTATTTAATGACAGATGGATCCGAGCAGCGAGTGGAACAAAGCAGCAATCGCAGGTTTAACAAGGCACAACATCCGCTTTGTATCCCAAACACCATCGTGTGTCACTGCATGACAGTCTCATTTGCCTGGCTCTTAGGGGTGAGCTGATCCAATAAATTTATGAGCACGCTCAGTCTCTTGGACAGTGTGGAAATCTTGCTGGCTGAAGCCCGCAGCAGACTAGAATAGACTTGCTTGTAGGTTCGCAGAGAGCTTTCTTCTTCTGTGCCGTTACTGGAGGAGAGAAATCAGCGAAGCTCAGACACTAAGTACAACATAATCTCTGTCAACCCAGACATTACACGTGTTTTATCTGCGCACTTACTGGAGAAAAATACGACGTGCGCACATTCTGACTGTAAACGCTGGAGATAAAGACTTGCATTTTTAAATTTGGCAAACAAACTGCACTTCACAAACAAAGACCATTAACACGTACCTCTGGCCTTGGGTGAAAAAACAGCCAGGTAGGAAGACAAAACCCCCAAGTTTTACATAGTTTTTAATGAAACGACCAAGATTTAAAAAGGTATTTACCGTATATACTCGAGTATAAGCCGTCCCGAATATAAGCCGAGGTACCTTGGTCATCTGGCAGTCTCCGGCCACCTAAATTAGGACCCGGAGACTGCCAGATGACCCCGCTCGGAGCGCCGCACACCGGAGCAGCAGTGACGCGACGCTCGGCGAGGTAAGTAAGAAGACGCGCTGGCGCTGACTCGAGTATAAGCTGAGGGGGGGCACTTTTCACCCAAAAAAATGGGCTGCAAAATCTCGGCTTATACTCGAGTATATACGGTAGTAGGGATGCACCAATACTGATACTAGTATCGGTGCCGATGTTGAGCATTTGAGCAAGTACTTGCCCAAATGCTCCAATGCCTAACCCGATATTTCTGGTATCGGCAAGCCGGGCAGTGAGTCATTACACGCTGCCCGGCTTCCCGCTTGGCCAGGATCAGGAATGCTCTCTCGTTACCTGTGACAAGGGAGCCGGCTTCCCGGCCAATCAGGAAGCCAGGCAGCGTGTAATGACGTGACGCCCGGGTTTCTGATTTCTCGTGATGAGGGAAGGTGGGTGCCTGGCCAATCAGGAAGGCGGGCGCCATTACACGGCACCTGGCTTCCTGATTGGCCAGAAAGCCGGCTCAATGCTTTCTCGTTACCTAGTGACGAGAAGCATGGGGATGGCTTCCCTGCTAATCGGGCCGGGTGGCAAGTCATTACATGCCGCCTGGCTTCCTTAATGGGACTTCCGATATTGGCAAGTACCGTAAAAAAAAATATCGGTACTGGTACTTGATACCGAAAAACCTGTCCTGGTGCATCCCTAGTATTTAGGAAAGGTTATATTAAGTCAAAGGGATTCTGTCACTAAAATTATAGTTCTAATAAAAGAGCAACAAAGAAAGGAAATACTCATCTCTCCCGCTGTCAGTTCCGCTGAATGCTGAGAAATGCCCCCTAGCTTCTCTTTAGAAAGTGACACTTCTTGGTGTCTACCTTTCTGGTCTTTCCACTGACCCCCATGTCACTGCTGGACCATATAGTGATGAAGTGTTTGGAAGGAGGAAGCAAGGAATGCAGGCATGTGGGGGGGACTAGGAATTTAGCACTTCTGGAAGCGACAGTGAAAAGGCTTCAGGTGATGATTTCTCTGCATTGGAGCAGCGTTTGGCAGCGCGGACAGTGGGAGAGGTAAATATTTGCAGGGCTATTCACAGAAGGGTGAAGGGTTTGGAGAAGGCAGGAGAAGTGATCTAGGACAACATAACTGATTTGGAAAAATTCACCAATTCAGCTCACTTTCCAGTTCACCTATATTGTCCTAGGTTGTTCACTTCTCCTGCCTTCTCCAAACTCTACACCCTTTTGTGGATACATTCTTCTTTGCAGGAAGCTCTTTCATTAGAACTTTCATTTCAGCAAAAGAATCACTTTACCTGGAAATCATTCTTCCTAAATACCTTTTACATATTGGTAATTTAATTAAAAAAAAATTAAACAATCGGGGATGATGTCTTTCTACTTGAGACGGGTTACTTTCAATCTTGCTAGAAATTATAGATGAACGCCAGACAGATAGTTAGAAAACAAAGTACTGAATCGTTTGTGTAGTGAAAAATATTGCTTTCATTTTTTTTATATAACCGGTATATGTACCTGAAACTGACTTGGTATCAGTCACCTGTGAAGCAACACCCAGACTGGGGGAAGGGGGGCAGCATAAGGTGCCAACCAGAACCCTGTTACTTACAGGAAACAGGCAAGGAGTAGCATAAGTATGACTGCATGCAGTGCGCTGCTGCTCCTTTATTGCCCAATCACAAACTGGGGCAGGTTATGGACCAGGCTGTATTGCCCAGCTGCACAAAAGCCTGTCCTGTGCTGTCTGGTGGGGATTGCTTAGCTCACAAGACAACCTGAAAGTAATAGCACATACTTTGGAAGGATATACCATTAACATACATGTATTTTAAATGTGTGTTTGCCTTTAATTGAAATCAAACCCTTTTGTTACTGTTAAGTTCTCTATATAGCAGCTCCAAGGAGGTAAGATTGTGGAAGAGTATGGTGACATGTGCAGTTTAATTTGATAATTTAGTTTTCCCAATTGCTAAAGATTTTCATTACATCAAAAGAGAAGCTATTGGAAAAGTAAAACATAAAAATCCTTCTGCTGGGGTTCTGGCATTTCCGTTTTGACCATTAGAGATGAGAAACTGATCAAATGGATATCTGAAGAACATTTGTAAGAAAGCATGTGTATCAATCGAAAACAGATGCACAGGGAACCAGTTGTAGAGAGACATTTCAATGTGCTAAATGACAGCTAAACCCATCACACTTAAAGCGGAACTTTACCCCCTTTCACTAAAGCCTCATTCACACTCTAAGAGCCGGACCAAACAGATCCGTGTGGTGTGCACGGCCCTATTGGGCCGCTCCCGGGAAGGACAGGTGCTGCGTGTGATTGCATGCAACTGCTTGTTCTTCTCTATGGGAGTATGCCGCCATGAGCTCACCCAAATTGCACACCCGTGCGTGTGTCCATGCTCAGACGCAGACTGACTCCATCCGAGTACGGATACCCGCACGGATGTGCAGTTTGGGTGAGCTCATGGCGGCATACTCCCATAGAGAAGAACAAGCAGTTGCATGCAATCACACGCAGCACCTGTCCTTCCCGGGAGCGGCCCGATACGGCTATGCACGCCGCACGGATCTGAACAGACCGGCTTTTATCAGTGTGAATGTGGCCATAAAAATCATCAGGATGCAGATCCGCATGCCGATATGAAATCATCAACATTCATTATTAAACATTTTTATTTTTATTACAATTAATTTTTTCTACTTCCTCGTCCACTTGGGCACATATGATGTAACTTGTGCCCAAGCATTGCATCCTGGGAAGGTTACATCAGCAGAGTATTGCTGGGAAATCTCATAAGATCTCGGGGGGAAGGCATATTCCTCCCCGAGATGATGTGCTTTGTCACATGTCCTAGTCACATTTGCCAGAGTTCCAGGAAGTAAAGGGAGATATAGTACTATGCCTTTAGTAAACAATGGCCACTGTGAGAATGGGGAGGAAAAAAAAAATAAGGTATGTAAAGAAAACAAAAAAGCCGGCAATTATCTAGAAGTTTGTAGATTGTCATTACTAGGGATGCACCGATACTGATACTAGTATCGATATCGGTGCCGATACCGGGAATTTAGGGGAGTACTCTTGCTCGCCCAAATGCTCCAATGTCTCGCCCGATACTTCCTTTATCAGGAAGCCGGGCAGCGCGTCATTACACGCTGCCCAGTTTCCTGATTGGCCCGGGAAGCGGCTCCATGCTCCCTTGTCACTTGTGCCGAGAGAGCGTGTAATGACGCGCTGCCCGTCTTCCTGATTGGTCGGGAAGCTGGCCAATCAAGAAGCCGGGCGCAGTGTTTGGCCAGCCAGACAGCTCCGGCTGGGTGCCGGAGGAAGGCCGCGTTCTGGCTGGAGAGGCCCCAGGGGTGACAGGCTGGACATACCAAGGTAAGAGGGGACAGACTTTCTTGTTAATAGGGAAGCCGGGTGGCGAGTCTTTACACGCTGCCGGCTTCCCGGATAATCAGGAAGCCAGGTGGCGAGTCATTACATGCCACCTGGCTTCCTGAATGGGACTTCCGTTACTCGGTAATTTGTATCGGCGAGTACCGAATTTTTTTTTATCGGTACTCAGTACCAAAACACCGGTATCAGTGCATGCCTAGTCATTACTAAACATTTCTAAACGTGTCTTTGTTGTTATTTTGAAGATATGGGTAAAGTTCCTTCAACTCCAACAGGATAATCAGCCAGTGCTGCCATGTTATTAGACAGCATGGAGGCACCCAACATTAGAAAAGGCCTTTAAATAAACAAACATTTTAAAAAAGCAGTAAGAACCAAGATCGGCACCTGCCTTCCTCTCCTCCTTCCCAGTATTATGTACTGTAGCCATGCAATAAAACTTCAATACAGAAACCGCTGCTTCACATAGATGGCATCCATTTGTAAGCCTCACGTCAGTTCCTTCATCAGCACTAGAGATCACTGATGAGATTGTACATGAGCTATGTGCCTGTGCTTTGCCCAATAACCTGTAGCGCAGGTGGAAGATATTTCCCTGCTGCTCTTCTTGATAAATTTCCCCAAATGACAAACCTCCACCTAGTTACAATTTACAGTGGAGTCCGTACATAAAACTCAACGTGAGGCTGTAGATCAGTCAGCTTGGCAGCCAACACAGTGTATGAAGGAGATAAAGACAAGCAGGTTTCCTCATATTACACCGGATAAAGTGCTAAGCTGATGAAATATCATGACACTGGAGAGCAGAAACAATTACCAGTTCTGGACAATCACACTAAACAAGCATCTATTTAGAATGCAAGCTTGAAGGCTGAGGACTACGCTGGGTCTCTAGTGCCATCTTGTGGGAGCTTCTGGCCGCACAATGGCTCTCCGTGCCATCTGATTTTAGCCAACTAGGATTTCTATTTTCTTCTTGTGAATGCAAATTAAACACAAGAGGGTTGGATGAATATATCGCATGTTTGTAGTAAGGCAACCAGATGCGGGGTAATCGAAAAGCTAAACCGGTGCGAGGTTCTTACGTCAATAATATATATTTATTTCTGGAGAATTGGTCTCTTGTTACTGCCCTAATGGTATTTCCAATAGAAATGAAAGATGTAAAACTCTGGTGTCCCCGTACTTTATTACTACTGAAAGTATAACGTCCAGGAATGGAGATGTCGAATTGTTTTTTGTCCATACTTTGATACTTGGAGAAATTAAAGGGTTATTAAGCCATCATGTTTTTTTGCATAGATCTGCTGCTAGCAAGAAGTAGATATATGCAAAAACATTAAAAACAACCTTTTGAAACAGGTTTAAACTTACCGGTGTCTTCGCCGCACGCTCCAGGCCGAACATCTGAAGAGTCCTGGGCGGCCGCAAAGGATCTTGGGGCGGGCGCATGCGCAGTTCAGATGTTCGGACAGGAGACAAGGAGAGACACAAGGTAAGGTAAGCGGCCTGCACCTGCACAGACACCGTGGGACATGAGAGAAAAGGAGGACAGAGGAGTCAGCGCTGGATCGGAGACCCGCACCCAGCGCTGGAGGGACATCTGAAAAGGACAGTAAGGAAGATGATCGGATTATGAGGCATCATTTAATGTAAGTCCTTACACTTACATTGGGTGGTGCGTGAGTGCCTATTTAGGAGGCAGAGCCAGCTATGCCCGCCCCCTCCCTTGTCCGCTGCTACAGTCAGCACTGGAGGATCGGGGAGGAGGAGAATCCCTGCGAGGAGCCTTGACTGACAGTCACCGCTCTCTGCAGGGAGATAATCGAAAAGTGGGCGAGCAACGGTATGTGTTCACTCACTTCCCGATCTATAGAGCCGACGTGTGACAGTTTCAGTGTCATAGGTCGGCTAGAACTATGTGGATGAGTGATTTTCGCTCACCTCATAGTTCTCCTTTAAGTAAACAAAAACAAATAAAAGCCCAACTAAAGCTCTAAGCAGTTACAGCAATTGTTTGTTTGTATTTTTTCCTATTGAAAATAGGTTTAAACCATATGAATAAATGCGGAACATTCTAAGTGCCCCAGTCGGTTTTATATAGTTCGTTCTAACCCTTGAACTGCCACGTTTGCCAAAAAAAAAGATGTCGGAAAATTAACAGATCTATTGGCAGGATCAACATTTAATCAAACTACGATACATCGGGGACTCAGAAAAAGAAAACCTGCTGTGCTGATGCTAATGACAGATCGCATCATATACGTCATTTTATATTTTGCCCTCAGTTCCACTTTAAAGCCCAACTCTGGACAAAACAAACTCACTCCCATTCCTTGCTCACCCCCCCCTTCCCCCTCCAAATGATTGCTGCCATGAACAAAAAAAATCTTAAAGCCCTTTTAACTTACCCAAACCTGTGGTCAGGTGATGCTCCAGTCCCAAATCTTCTTTCTTTTATGGTTTACATAAGATGGTGTTCTTCTTCAAGTGTCCACAGCACTGCTCAAATGATGTGGTTATGTCCTACTGGCTGTCCAGTAGGATCCCCTCAGTATCCAGAAGATGAGGGAACTGTCGGGGATTGGCTGCAACGGGCACATGTGCAAGGGGTGGGATCAGCGGGTCACACCACCAGGAAATGACCCGGACAGTGAACACGTGAGTACACCTTGCTTCACAAGGTAATAAAAAACAAAAAAACAGAACCATGCGTGATGAGATGGTGGGGTGGGGTGGGGGGAGTGTTCATATTTTGTGGGGAGTTGGGCTTTAAAAAAAGTGAAGCTAACCCTGTTGTAATGATACAAAATAAGTTTGGAGTAGACACAATGATACAGAACTGATAACTAAAGAAACTAGAAATCAAGAGACATTGAGGGGGATTTTTAAAAAAAACTGGAGCAGACAAAGTTTGGAGCAGTTGTGCACAGCAACCAATCAGCTTCTCTCTTTCATTTTCACATTTTCACTGAACTGAAGATAGAAGCTGATTGGTTGCCCCGGCAACTGCTCCAGGGTTTGTCTGCTCCATTTTGATAAATTCCCCTCTCTGTCTCTCTGGGTTCCGGGACTGGTCTAGTCCTCTTCAGCATTTTTAAAAGGGAATAGTGATACTTACTTCTTCTTCTTTGGAGATAGAAGCTTGATAAACTGTAACAGGACAAATGACAAGCGGGACTCAAATATATTGACCAGCTTCAGCACCTCTTCCATGCAGAGATTGGCAGACGAATCTCCTGGCGGCTCCTTGCTGTCCTGGGCTCCCTGAAAAGGACACATTTTTATTCAGCCACAATGCACCATCATATTTCACTCCTAACATATAAACAGGCGCGAGCGGCTAGATTGACTCCAGCTTCTCCATTCAGCAGACACAATACACTCAGCGAATACCCATTCAACGAGGTCCCGGGCATGAACAGCCCATAGCAGTTTTCCCTCACTCTACTCCGCTGCAGAATATCAATTGGAAGCAGATAGGCTTATGTAATACAGCTCATTAATGTAATGCATTGCTGGGTTATTCTCCCCCCACAGGATTCAACTCCTCGGCCTAGATGTAAAACACATCGCTTTAGTGAAAGGCCAGTCAGCTCCCACATAACCCGGAGTACTTCTCATGAATAGGAAGAGCCTGGCCGCCTCCTTTTTCATTCAGATTACATTTATATAACGTGTTCAATATCAACTACATTCTCAAACAATTCATTCCCACACAGCTACCTCATCATGTATCACTGGCCCCTCCCTTTTAGATTGTAAGCCCTCAGGGGCATGGCCCTCCTTACCAGTGGCGTAACAATCAATATAGCGACCCAGGCGGCCGCTATGGGGCCCCAGGGCACAGGGGAGCCTGGCCAGGATATCCCCCTGATGCCGTGCGGGCCGCCTGGGTCGCTATGGCATTTCAGGCTGCTGGCTGTCACTGGCGGCTGCAAGGAGAAACACGCAGCCATTCACATGTGCCACTAGATGTCCTCTGTCTTGAGTTAAATGATGTCCTGTACCATTAACCCACATTCTCTTGAGTCTAGGCTGTCATGGATCCCCAGCACGTAGGGCGTCATCATCAAGCAGCCTAGGCTCGGAAAACTACTGCACGGCATTCCTACATCATTGCAGGAGAGGCATTCAGTGCAGCAGTAAAGAGTGCCATGAAGCTATAGGACAAACATATCTAGGGAACTAAAGATTTACAAAACGGCTGCCCCCAAATCCTATAAATGACAAATTTAAAAGCAGAAATCCAGCCCAAAAAATGTAATTCCATAAAACATTTTTTTGAAAAAGCAGCTTTTGCAGTAATACTCACCTTTACTTTGGATCGGTACTCTGCAGTACTTATTTCTGCACCTAGATGCCCTCTGTCTTCAGAGTTAAATGACATCCAGTGTCATTCAACCCACATTCTTCGAGTCCTGATGGACGTCATGGATCCCTGGCACAGGGCGGCATCATCAAGCAGCCTAGACTCGGAGCAACACTGCATTGCATGGTAGTCCCACATCATTACAAGGGTGCCATTCAGTGCAGCAGTAAAGAGTGCCCACTGCTGTAGGAGAAGAGCGGGGACCCCTGACATTACTGGGCCGGCCAAAAGACCCTTAAAACCCATTGCTGTAGGAGAAGAGGGGGGACCCATGACATTACTGAACCGGCCAAAAGACCCTTAAAACCCATTGCCATAGGAGAAGAGGGGGGACCCATGACATTACTGAACCGGCCAAAAGACCCTTAAACCGATTGCTGTAGGAGGAGGGAGGACCCATGACATTACTGAACCGGCCAAAAGACCCTTAAACCGATTGCTGTAGGAGGAGGGAGGACCCATGACATTACTGAACCGGCCAAAAGACCCTTAAACCCATTGCTGTAGGATAAGAGGGGGGACCCATGACATTACTGGCCCAGTAAACCCTGGCCCAGGCTAGGCAAGTATCATTTTGGGAGAGGACTGACTCTTGAGAGCATTGCAGTAATTAGAGCCCAATGATACCCTCGATGACTTGACACACTCAAAACAAGCTATCTGCAAGTAGTAAATAGGAAATGATGAAGTAAAAAAGGTCATAGAAAACCCGAAAATTTTTTTTTTTTTTTT